AAAAAAAAATGCATTGCCTCTGTGGATTGTAAACTTTTTTGAAATTAGCTGACATCTTCTGTCATAGAACGATGCATATGGTGCCTAATTGGGCTAGAAGCTAGCTGCTCATTTACAGAATTTTTATTATTTTTAGAAGAGGTCGAGAATACATGAAGAAACGAGCGTCGAGCTAATTTGAGATCGTTGATTTCCTTCTTGCATCTGTTCTATTGCTTCTTCTATCTAGCGTTGCATTGTGTAATCACTATATGCGAAATTTCGATGCACATTTTTGCTGAAAAATGCCCGATTTTCATTAGTATTTTCAAAATATTTCGCAGATATCTGTCATGTAGCGAACACAATCTCAATATCTAGATTCAATAAACTTAGATAAATGATTTCTTCAGGTGACTTTTACGCATTCAAACGAATTTTTAGGTTGTGAGGAATAGTTGCGACTGAGTTGTACATTGACTATCAATGTTCATCAATAATACGCTCCGTACTTCGAAAACAAAGGTGTTGTAGACGCTCCATGGTTTTGAGACCTAATGCGCAATTTGGGGGATTTTTGCGTTTTTGAATGCGAAATTTAAAGGCATATCTGTTATATGCATCTTTGCAAAGGAGTTCCAACAAAATTTCATTATCTCCAAGTAGTTTTTTTGGTGGTGGAACTCATTTCCTTTGCTTGAGAAATTTTGAAACCCATCCATTCTGTCTAAATAACCACTCGTTAAACCTAACCTAGTAACGTCCAACGCTGCTACATTGCACGTAGGATTTCACGTCACCCTGATGTTGAATATTCACAGATCTGCTTTTAGGATATGAAAGGCGCTTTGGGTTTGTCAGTATCATTCAAACTGAAAGAGTGCCTGCGGCGTTCATCGGACAGTATTGATAAAAGGTGAGCAAATTCTTATTGATTGTTTATTTTTCTTATTCACAAACTATAGGTTCTGTTTCGATCTTATTGCTGATGAACGACCCGATGTGATGACATTCCAAGCTCTTTCCGAAGAAGATCGTCGACAGTGGATTGACGCTATGGATGGGAAACAAACAGTATGCGTTTGAAAGGCGGTTAGTTAGGTTAAAGGACAAATCATTAATGTTTAGGTTTATTCCCCTGGAGCTGGACCATCGACTACCACCCTTCAGAGTCAGTTCTTTTACATTTTTTCTTTTACAATTACTTTTGCTTTCAATGCATGTACTAGCAACGGCTGAAAAAATTTCCTGGGAGCAAATATGGATTCATGCCATATAAAGCAAAGCTGTTCGATTGGTTCATAGTTTAGTAAATGAAATCAAGAAAATGGAGTTGATCTGTTTTGGTTAGCTATGATATCGTGAAGTTCCTCATTCATAATAAACAAGAACATTTTTCGAAACTAATGCTCTAGCATATGTTTTTGCCACCAAGTTACTATTTTCACGAGTAATCTATTTTTACACTTCTCTTGCTCATCCTTCTGCTTACACCATCTACTAACTAAGCATGCAAGCTGGCTGTTTTGTTCCT